GCGGGTGGGCGATGAAGAAGCGGGAGGTGGAAGCGGCGAGGAAGCAGCAGCAGCCATAGGGGAGAAGCCCCCCGGCCGGAGAGGGCGGCGCAAAGAAAGCAAACTAGGGTTTAGGAGAAAACCCTAGAGGAAAACTCGCTTCTGTCCAACAAATTTAATTACTACAAATTTGTAATTACGAGTGGATCTCCTTCAAATTAGTGACTACCTTTCTCTCCGTTGGTTCCTCTCCCATTTCTTCCTTGGGTGAGTGTGGCCAACTCAATTAAGATTTGTGAAAAGAGAGGTGGGTGTAGGAAACCTCCCTTTAAATCGGGCTTTGACATTTTGCCTCTAAGTTAATTGGTAGAGCGAAAGAGTCAAGCCGAATCCCCCTGTATATGTTGCAAAATTGCATGCGAGTAAACAACTAGCGTGCTAAGTTTCACAATTTATAGAAGACTTTTTCAATTTCCAAATCAAGATTTCAATCCTTTAATCAAAATTCTATCTCTTTCAAATCCTAATTGATCCATGTATTCAATCACTACATATAGAATTGTAACTCTTATAATTCGATGTGTGAAAGAATATAAACACCTTCAATTTCAACTCAAAAGATCAATCTTTCTGGCAAAGTCAAGTTTTGACATTTCTCTCCCGAACAATTCGTCGGGGTGAAAGAGTCGGGTTGACTTGTTAGAATCTACCCCTGTAAATTTGTTAACCTTTATGTTGAATGCAAGTTCAACATATTGGGTTTCAAAGTAAAGAGGGTTCTGCCAGATTTTTTTTTAAACTTTCAAAACATACCCAAAATTTTTCAAATCAATTTGAATCGTCATTGTCATGTGTCTTCTATAACATTCTGTTGTAGTTGAACACATACAACATAAACCAAAAAATTTTTAATCAATTTTGGGCTTTGACATTTCACCCCCAAATCACTTGGTACGATGAAAGAGTCGAGCCTAATTTCTCAAGATCTTCAGGTTACTTTTGTAAACCTACACGTTCGAATAAAAATTAATGTTTTGAGTTTCAAAGTTTGAAGAAAATCTGTTCAATTCCAACTTCAAAGTCAAATTCAATCTTAAGTTTAAATTCAGTCCTAAAATTGAATTCTCGTTTGTTTTCAACATTAAGTTCAAATTATATTTCAAACATAAATTCAACTTCAATTTTGATTTTAAAGTCAAAATATGGGCTTTGACATTTCATCCCAAGTCGATTGGTGAAATGAAAGAGTCAAGCCCGATTTTTGGACTTTCATATCAATTTTGTGAACCTAAATGATTCAGTGAAATTCAGTGTATTGAGTCACAAAATTTGAAGGAGATCCACTCGACTTTAATCTCAGATTTAAATTCAAACTCAATGTCAAGCCAAATTTAATTGCAAATTCAAATCCAAACTTTGAAATTTTGCCCCAAGTCAATTGGTGTAGCGAAAGAGTCAAATTCAAGTCTTAATTTTCACTCGTCAATTTTATGAACCACCGTGTTCAGTGCAAACTGAACACGATTGAGTAATAAAATTTTGAATAAAATCAATCACATTCAAAACTTAAATGTTATTTTAAAATCACTAATTTAAGTTAATTTCTTAACTCCAGGAAATTGAATACTCAAATGGCTGGGAAACTCATCTTCTCATTGAATAGAGATGTGCCTGTAGAAGAAATTCTTAATGGCAATTCAATTCAGTATGAAATGGGATTTCAAGGTCTCAGGATTTCAGTTAATGGAGAAAGAATCTTAGATCTGTCCGCTTGTACTCAAAGGACTTCCCCTTAGTAGAAGTTACATTAGGGTCAGGAGTTGACTCCCCCATCTCCAAGATGGAGGTTGCCGTCGCCCCTGTACCCATTGTATCCTCTGCTCATGAGGATAACAACTAGAAGTCAATAATGACAAAAGAGGTACCATCTCAGTCTGAGATCGGGTCAAGTTCTAGCACCCATGTTGTTGGTAGGAATAAGATGAAGAATTACCTTCGAAGAGCCAGGAAAAAGAATCTTAAGGCTAGAAAGATCGTTTAATTGGAAGCCTTAGAGAAGACCGACTTCGAGGCCAATCGAGAGTTCGTTGCTCCTTCTACGTACCCTCTCCTTGCGCAAAGGAGGGAGGTTGTAGATACGAGAGTGCGATCTTCAATACACCTTCTTGACTACTACACAGAAAGACTCAAGCAAGAAAGAATTAAGCGATCACCAGCAATATGCCATAGGCCCTCAGCTGAGGGTTATGATCCGTCCACTCTACTAGAAGATGTTAAGGCTCGTTACTACACGTGTCCTACTACATCATCTGCAGAGGAGTAGAAACTACTTGGGGTGCCACTCTCTTGAATATTAGACCACTAGTAATGTGAGAGGAGGGAATAGTCAAAGATTGTATCAGATAGTGATACCGTCAAAATTTGAATTTCAATGGGGTCCTATCGTGATAAATCTTTCGATTGTAATGATGTCGCAATGTCCAGGGATAGTGCAGACCTTATGATAGTCTCTCCCTCCACAGAGATTGTAGGAATTCAATTCCATGTTGACAAGGGTCTTTCCACCTAGACTTATAACCTTTTTAAGGAAAACTTATCAATTTCTCAAGTGTACCGGGTCCGGATTTTCAAGATAGTTGATTTCTCTTTTTAATGAAAATTGACCTCTACCTTAAGTCTTAAGCAGGAGAGAGTTGTAGTTGACTCCATCAAATGTTTGAATACCCCTCCCTCCCACCGCTTCTGTGGGTTGATTTAACCTTTGAATTAAAATCTATCTCAAATTTAAGTTGAATTCAGAAATGAAAATTTTATCAAGCTTCAAGCAATCTTCTATCTTCATAGGCAATTCTCGCATGTCTAAAATCTATTCAATGATTTTTAAAAGTCAAGTTGATACTCTTTTCAAAAAGATTGAATGTGCTTTGAGGATTATTCTTCCTTGTATAAGAGAACAAATTTTCTTTTCTAATACTTGAGGTATAATCCCAACATTCAAAATAAAAGATCAATCAATTTAAGGTATTTGAAGAAAGTGGGACCTCTTCTCAAATTCAATTGAAATCAAAAGAAGCACGAATGTGCTAGAAATTAAAAGATGCGCGAATGCGCCAAAAATCAAGAAGTGCACGAAGTGCACCAAAAGTCAAAGATACGCAAACTGCGTCACCAGAAAAAGAGAAGAAGAGTAAGATGGC